GCAAACAATTTCTAGAACTTTTTCTTCTTGCAAAACTGAAACTCTATACCCATTAAACAATGTGTTTTCCCTTCCCCCTGGCCTCTGGTAACCACAGTTCTTTCTGTTTCTATGAATTTGACTATGGTAGATACCACATATGACTGAATCATGCAATATCTGTCCTTTTGAATCTAGCTTATTTCACTTAGCATAATGTTTTGAAGATTCATCCATGTCATAGCATGTGTCAGAATTTCTTTCCTTCTTAAAGCTGAATAATATTTCATTTTATGTATATAAAATGAGTCATCCATGGATAGACACTCAGATTGCTTCTACCTTTGGCTATTGTGAATAATGTTGCTATGAACATGGGTATATAAACATCTCTTTGAAACCCTGCTTTAAATTCTTTCAGGTATATATCCAGTAGTATAATTGTTAGATCATAGATAATTCTATCTAACATTTGAGGAACTGTCATACTGTTTTCCATAGCAGTTTTATCATTTTACATTTCCCACCAACAGTGGCAGGGTTCCTATTTCTCCACATTCTTGCCAATATTCTGTTTTCTGAATTTTTTTGTTTTGGGGGTGTTTTTTATTTTTATAGTAACCATCCTAATGGGTATGAAGTGATAGCTTATTGTGGTTTTAGTTTACATTTCTCTAATGCTTAGTGATGTTGAGCACCTTTTCATGTGCTTCTTTGGCTAGCCACCTCTCCTAAAGACCCCTGTGATTACACTGGACTCACCTGGATAATCCAAAATAATCTTCCCATTAAAGATCCTTAAATGAATCCCACCTACAAAGTTCATTGTGCTATGTAAGGTGACATTCACAGGTTCTGGAGATTAAGACATAGATGGCTGGAGCGGAGCGGGTGGGTGAGTGGTAATCATTCTCTCTGCCACAGGTCACCACTTCACTGCCAAAGCCAAGAGAAGAATAAGTTTGAAGAATAAATGTTTGATTGATGAGTTCAAATATCACAAAGAATCTGCGCAGTCTAAAGTGATTTGGCTGAATCTTATGATCAGCGAACTTTGAGACAGTTTTTGGTAAAGGCTGCAACTCAGAAAAAGTTATTATTTTTTATGTTAACTACTAATTTGTGATTTTAGTTACATATATGTGTTTCTCCCTAAAGGAGCTATTTTGTTTAAATTACCCAGAATTCTCCTGAGCTCAGGTTAAAGTAAAAAACTTGCAGCCCCAGGCTAGTATGACCACTCTACTCTATGCAGCAATCAGAATCCATGTTCTTGCCAGCTGGCTGCTCTGCCACGATTCCTAGTCCCTGTGGTTCAGGCAGCATCTACATTCCAGGCAGCAGAATGGAGGGGGGGGCAATGAATGTGATGGTCATGTAAAGCAAGGGAAAAGATAGACAAGGTATCCTAAGAGGTTATATGAGTCTAAACCATGGTGTTGGATGTGAGGCAGATCACTTGTATGTAGGATCCCAACAAGAGAAAGATGATAAATACTTGGAGCAATTGCAGGAGTCAGGGTGAGTGTGTCTATGAGCAGACACAAGAAGGGAGCGACAAGCCTAGGCCTAAGGAGATGTTTGTTGTGTGTCTCTGATGTTGAGAAGTGATGCAGATTCAGTTAAGGACAGCCTGAGTTTTGAGATCCAGGTGTTCTCCAGGTATAGGTGTCCCTCAGGCTTTGGAAAAGAAATTGTCTTTCATTCAACACTGGAGAAAGTGCCAAGAAAAGAGGTGATGTAGGAAGAAATAATGAATCACTCATTTGGGACCTGTCAACAGTTTCAGCCAAAAAGTATAGTCAGCAACCAGCATAAAGCAGGACACACTGGTGAATGTACCCAGGTTTCTGATTTTATGCACTGAAGAACAGAATTAGCACATGTCAAGTGATGAAGGAGCTTTTATCCCAAAATGCAATTCTGCTTTAATGTTAGAGATAGGTTACTGTAATATATAATACAAGGAAATAAAATAAGGGGAAAAATATGATTATCTCAGAAACTAAGAAGGTATTTGATAAAACTATACACCCATTCTTCATTTAAAAAAGAAACTTTACAAACAAGTAAACTCTAAACATTTTTTTGATAGAAAGATTCACACATGTACTCAAAGATATATATACAAGGACATTTCAACAGAAATAAAAGGCAAATGACTGGAAAGAAGTAGGCAAAATTATTTTCATTTTCAGACAGAAGAATTTTCTATCCAGAAAATCCAGAAAATAAACTACAAAATCATTACCTTTTCTTACAAAATAGCAAGTAACCAATTAGAGTTATAGTAAATAATAGTAGTAGTTTTCATTCCTAGTAACCCCCTGTATTTGTCTACTAGGGCCAAAACAACAAAATACCACAGACTGAGTGGCTTAAGCAAGCGTAATTTTTTTTCTCACAGTTCTGGAGGCTGGAAGTCCAAGACCAACGTGTCCCCAGGTTTGGTTTCCACTGAGGCCTCGTCCCTTGGCTTGCAGGTGGCCATCTTCTCTCTCTGTCCTCACGTGGTCTTTTCCATGTGCACACCCATCCCTAGTGTCCCACTGTATACCCTAATCTCTTATTTTAATAAGGACACCGGTCAGATTGTTTTAGGGCCCACTCTAATAATCTCATTTTAATTTAATCACCTCTTTAAAGGTCCTATCTTAAAACACAATCACATTCTGAGGTACCTGGGTTAGGACTTATGAATTTGGATGCAGGGAAACACAATTCAGCCCATAATATCCCCAGAAAATACACAATACCTAAAGATGACCCTAAGATGATGTATGAACAACCTAAAGGAAGGCAACTATACTATGATATTTTACTGCAAGACATAAAAGAACACTTGAATAAATGGAGAAACACACCATGTTCTTGGTGGGAAAGTCTCTGTATTATAAAGTACCAATTTATTCCAAATTACATTAATGTGTATAACACAACTATAACCAAAAGCCCAACAAGGTATTTTTCAAATATCTTTTCCTTTCTCCTCCATAGTTGTTATATTACCTTCAACTGTATATTCTTTATTTCTAAAGGGCAGGGCCTCTGACAGCTCAGACCCACCATCTTTCACCCTAAATCAACCTTCCCAACTACCCCATTTCTAGAGTGGGAAATCGTCACCTACCAGTCATCTAGGATAAATCTTTGAAAATTCTCTTCTTAGTCCACCTATAAACAATCACTCTGTCCCATACAGCCATTTTGTTAAAGTTGAATCTGCCCTCCTTCCCTTATATTTCTGCACATAACCATCATTTAATTTTTCCAAAATATATTCATTGTTCTCTTCCAGATTTGCAAAGATCGTGTTCAATAACTCTACTGTGTGACTTTGGACAGGTTAGTCAGTGTGTCTCAGTTTACTCATCTGTAAAATGAGGATAACAATGCCTACCTCAGAGGACTGTTATGAAAAACGAAATGAGTTAACAATCTGAAAGCACTTAGAACAGTAAGCACTTTTTTGTATGTGTTAAATATTTTCCCCATTGTTTTACCTGGTACCTTTAGTGCTCACTTTGAGAAAAACTCCTTTGGGTTTAGGCATTGTATGTCCTTTTCAAATGACTATAATGAGAAATACTTGACACATATTTTATTGATGAACATGGGTGTTCGTTACAGCAGTATTTTTAATAGCAAAAAACTGAAGGCATCCACATGCCTATCAGAAAAAATTATATTTAAGTAAAGATGGTGAAGTCATACTATGGAAAACCTAGAGAGATGGTAAATTTGTAGATAAAAGATTCATTTGCTAGAGAAAGATAACCAAAATATATTGAGTGAAAAAAGCAAGTTGAAAAATGAGGTGCAATATGGTTTTATACTCATTTCATTGGAGAACAGAAGGATAGACTTAAAAACTGTAGGCAGAGAACAGAGGTCTCTTACGAAATGAGGCCATATAACCTTCCTATGATGAACATGTTACTTTTGTAATTACAGCTAACTAAAAACAAAAGAATGAGGAGAAAAAACAAATATTTAAAACTTTCTTACCTCTTGGAAAACTCACTTACCAAAAGATAATTAATCCTTTGCCTTGGATGTTCAGGTTTTTATCTGAACTGACAGAAAATACAGGTGAATTTGGTATTGATGAGGAGTCAAATGCTAGGATTTGCTTTAAAACCTCTATCCCGCTACAGATAGCTTTAAACACCTTGTAGATTAACCTCAAATGTTAGCATTTTGTCCTGAGAAACAGGCATCATCAAATATTTATGTTGCATCCTGAAAACTAGCCAAAGGTCATTAATGTAATTATCTGGGAAATTCTACTGGAATGAGACTCAAAACCTTCCATTTAAGCATTGGTAGGAGTTAAGAGAACAGCTACCCTTTTCAACAAACAAATTTTAGGCTCTGAAGCAGAAAATCTCCATGTAGAAGACTGAATTTTCTCATCTTTTTGATAATCACTTCGACTACCAGGAGAAAACTTAGGGAGCTGTAAATAAAAACAGGTACACTTGAAATAAATCCTATTTTTCACGGATGTTCTGCGGGAGTTCCTATATGTTCACACTCAAAGAATTTGGGGTTTGTAAATAAAAGGTGGCCCTCTACAAGAAGGGGCAAGAAAGAGTACGCAGTCTCCAAATTATTCGGTACATTTGAGCTACCTAGGCACCTGCTTTGCCTACGAAAACAACCTGCTTTCATGTCATCACTGGGCCTCAGGAAGCCGGCTTTAGCCTTCACCAGGTGACGCCAACGACGTGAGATATCTCACAGACGCAGCAATTAGGAAGGCGGGGCAGTCTCCTTTAAGAAGCTGACTCACGTGGATGCTGTGTTGTGTGCTCTCAGCTGGGAAGGGGTGGCTCCTAAGTCTCTCCACATTGGCCACCTCCGGAGAGGGGCAGAGTAAGCCTCTTTGATTGGCTGTACGTGTCCGAGGTGTTGGGTCAGGGGAGGGGCGACCGGCCGGGGGCTCGCCCCAGGCCTGCGACTGCAGGGTGGGGGTGGGCCGCGACGCGAAGGCAAGCGGGAGTGGGAGAGGGTGAAACAGGGAAGGGGCTGGCCCCAGCGGAAGGGGCAGGGTGACGGGAAGGGCGTGGCCTATAAATGAAGGGCGTTCTGGGCCAACCGGGATTGCTGTCTGCTCGGGAGGCGGAGCTAGGCTGTGTGATAGACGCTGAGGCCCAACCAGGGAGAGGCGGGGCCAAGTCCGGGCCTCACTAAACCTGAGACTAGTGGACGAAGGGCTTCGTCCCAGCTGAGGAGCGAGGAGTCGCAGGCGGTCGCTGATCTCACAGCGGTTCGGGGTGAGTGCGGCGAGCGGGGGCTGGGCTCGGAGTCCTAGGGGGACTGAGGAGGCCTTCGGGCCGGCGGCTTCGAAGC